CATGCTTGATATTTTCAGACTTAAAAATTTTTACATATATGATTGGTGTATAAGGGTATATATTATTGTGCTTTCATGATTGTTTATTTTTAATACTTTAGGGTATTAACTATTGATTTCTTACTATAGGTGAATATGATTCTGCTCTCTTTCATTCCCCCAATATATTTACTAATTCTGCCTTCCCAGTATTGTTAATTATAATTTTGGTTTCAATCTATCATTATTTAATATGGCTATGTAATTATTACACATAATTGAGCTCACGTAGTATATTGTTTATTTCACCTTTCTTGTATCTCTCTTTGTTTTTCTTGGATCAATAATTGCCTTGATTTTGTTGTTGTTGTTCTGTAGTTTTCCATGTCATATATTATTAATTTTTCTGTGAATGTCTAAGAGGACTATAATACTCCTCTCATTATTGTCAAACATCAAATAATCAAATAATTTACCAATTTTTTTTCTTTTTTTTTCTTTAGTCTGAGGCATGTTCTAGAGCCCACTCTCCTGCCTCAGTCTGGTTTGACTGTGCTCTTAGCCTGCTGCAGAGCTGTTGCCTTGAGCTCTCTTTTATCGTTGTTCATGGAATTCTCTTTGCTTCTCCTTTGTATTGAATCCTGTTTCACCCTTTTTTAAGAAAAATAAATACTTAATTTGTTCAGATTTTAGTGTGTGGAGTTGCTATGGTAAGAAGTTCTTAGGATATAGGTATGTTTTGTGTTGTCTTCTGTCCTCCTCTTCCATGGTGGGGAATGAGGTGGCTGGCCTGGAAGGTAAAGGTAAGGGAATTAATGAATGGTAGAGATGTTGGTATTAATATAAACATCATAGGCCCAGCTCTCTCTCTCTTTTTATTTCTCCCAAGGTGCTTCCAGTCTGGGGCTAAAGCTCCAGCTGCGGTCCAGAGCAACTCCATGCTGAGCAGTAGGATCAAATGTTCTCTCTTAGAGTTAGTCTCTTTTTCTCTGGTTCCATTTCTTATGTACTTGGAGGGCAATCATGAGATCATAAGTGCAGCATCTTAGACTCAGGCTTGGATATGATGGGAGAAGGGCATGAAGTGGGGGGAGTGGTAGAAGAAAGCCAACATCATGGCTTGGTTTGTTCTGAAACTAGCACAAGTAGTTTAGGAAAAATAGATGTTTTGTGTAATGCAGACTTTTCTGCATTAAAATTTGAGGCCAAAAGGCATAACTAACAGTAAATATTACTGAACCTGGATTTTTCTGTGGCGCTTTGTGTTTGTTGTCCCAATAGAAAACTTGTGGACAGGGCTGGTTGTGAATGGGGAAGGGCTTCCATGGTGTGCTGGTAAATTACCACTTTAATAGCACTACCAATCTATCTTTTCTAACACACTTGACCTAGTTGGTTAGATTGTCTTAAAGATTATAAGATAGTGTTAAAATTAACTTCTTGTCTGCTATATTCTATTAGGACCAGGTGGGATTAAATACCAGCTAGTTAGACAATCAGAATTTTCCTGCATAGAAAATTAGAAGCTCTCTAAATGGTCTGGAACAAATGTCCCATAGTGGGAAACAAAAAGCAATATTTATATTGCATAGCTGGTAAGTCTTACAAATAAATATGGGGTAGATGATTGAACAATGCTGAAATTCTTTTCCTTGGCTGTTCTTTTAAGAAGACAGATTCAACAATAAAAAAGATATTGTTGTGTACTGAATCATGTGCCCCAAAACTGTTTTGTTGAAGCCCTGACCCTTAATGTAACTATATTTGGAGATAGGGCCTTTAAGGAGGTAATTGAGGTTAAATCAGATCATAAGGGTGTGTCCATAATCCAGTATGACTGGTATCCTTGTAAGGGGAGAAACACCAGGGATGTACACACAGAAAAAAGGCCATGTGAGGACACAGCAAGAGGGAAACCATTTACAAGCCAAGGATAAAGACCTCAAAGAGAAACCAACCCTGCCAACAACTTAATTTTTTTTTTTTTTTTTAAAGATGACCGGTAAGGGGATCTTAACCCTTGACTTGGTGTTGTCAGCACCACGCTCAGCCAGTGAGCAAACCGGCCATCCCTATATAGGATCCGAACCCGTGAGGACACAGCAAGAGGGAAACCATTTACAAGCCAAGGATAAAGACCTCAAAGAGAAACCAACCCTGCCAACAACTTAATTTTTTTTTTTTTTTTTAAAGATGACCGGTAAGGGGATCTTAACCCTTGACTTGGTGTTGTCAGCACCATGCTCACCCAGTGAGCTAACCAGCCATCCCTATATGGGATCCGAACCTGTGGCCTTGGTGTTATCAGCACCATACTCTCCCAAGTGAGCCACGGGCCGGCCCAAACAACAACTTAATTTTGAACTCCCAGCCTCCACAGCTGTGAGAAAATAAAATTCTATTGTTTAAAACACCCAGTTGATGATATTTTGTTATGGCAGCCTCAGCCAAGTAATGCAGACATATAACCCAGTTAAGAAATGGACAAAGGACTTGAATAGAAGTTTTTTCCAGAGAAGATATATAAATAGTCAATAAGCATATAAAACATCATTAGTCATTAGGGAAATCAAAACCACAGCGAGATAATATCCATTAAGATGGCTATAATAAAAAATACACACAATAACAAGTGTTGACAAGGATGTAGAAAAAAATGAAACCCTTGTACATTGCTGGTGGGAATGTAAAGTGGTACAGTCATGTGGGAAAACAGTCTGACATTGATTGCCTCAAAATATTAAACATGTAGTTACCATATGTCCCAGCAATTTCCCTCCCCAGGTATATGCCAAAAATACTTGAAAATGTTTTCACACAAAAACTTGTACACAGAAATGTTCATAGCAGCATTACTGATAATAGCCAAAAAGTGGAAACAACCAAAATGCCCATGAACTGATACATGAATAAACAAAATTGTGGTATATTTATACAATGGGATATTATTCAGCCACAAAGAACAATGAAGTACTGATACATGCTACAATATCAATGAATGTTGAAAACATGCTAAGTGAAAGAAGCCAGGAAAAAAAGCCACACATTGTGTGATTTTATTTATATGAAATGTCTAGAATAAGCAAATCCATAGAGATAAAGTGTTTGCCTGAGGGCCGAGAGGAGGGGATGGAGAGCAGAATGGAAAGTGACTGCAAATGGGTATATGATTTATTTCTGGATGATGAAAATGTTCTGGAATTAGCAATGATGGTTGCACAACTTTGTGAACATACCAAAATATTTTAAAGGGTGTAAAAGGTAAACTTTATGGTATATGAATTATGTTTCAGTTAAAAAAGATTAAGCCAAATCAGTGCTCTGGATGATGAAACTGAAGTAAAGATGAATGAGATTATGCCTTGAATGTTAATAGTGTTAACTTGTGAACAAGGCTCTTGGTTTTCCCCATGAACATGGGTGGTGAGTGACGTATTCATAAATTTAGGTGTTGTCTCATTGCCCATTGCTTCATGTTCGTGGAGGCAAAACAAAAGCCTCATTCACAAGTAAAATAATCTCTGAAAACCTTGCTTCTTAGGCATTGGGGTAGCATGGTGAAGTAGAACATTTTAGAAGTTTAAGGCACTTGCTCCTTTTCTGCACCATCCCTACCTCAGCTGAAAATCACGGTGCTGTTAGGTCTGTGAAGATGACAGTCCTGCTTTTCTGACATCATCCAAAAATATCTTTAAAAACTTGCAGATAGCAAATCACGACCTCACTCCTAGGGATTACTGCTACTTGAAGTGTGTCCTCAGACTGGCAGAATCATGTAGGAGCTTTTTAGAAACACATATGCCCCAGGCTGACTGAATCAGAAACTCTCCAGATGACTTTGAAGTATGCTAATGTCTGAGAAGCACTGATCCAGAGAAATTACAAGGACCAAAAGTTTATGCTAATTTTTTGTAATAATTATTTGGCTCCTTTACATGTAGCAAGTTAAACATAATTGTCTCCTCCCCGAACCCCCCCATACAATCTGGTGATTTGAGTATATCCAGCACCCAGATCTTGGTTTCTAAATACCATTCTACACTAAGTGGATCCGAGACTTTGTACTATTCTTGCAGCTTTTCTTTAAATTTAAAATTATTGCAAAATAAAATTTTTTTAAATACTTCAATTTGAAAGGATATAGAAGATGACCTGAAACAAACAAAAAACCACACAAGTTTTCCAAAACTGAGGATATGGAACTCAGATTGAATGTATTTATTTATTATAATCTCCAAAATAATTTCAGTTGGCACAACTGCTTCTTAAACCATATCAATATCAGGCTCAGAAATTACAACAAAGCAATTCACAAAAACACTTTAAGCAAAAAAACATGCTTAATATTTCTTTGAGAAAGGTCCTTCAAATATGTGTACAGCACTACTAGTGTTACACAAAAGTGTTAGAAGGTGACCCTTAAGTGCCCAAGTTCTGCATCCCTGACAAACATGAAAGGCTAATTTAACCACATTTGAGATCCTTCCACGTCTCAAAAGAAAAGTATTTATGATGCAACTTGCCTTCTTAAAATTTAAAGGATACTGTAGGTCATTCTTTAGGAAAGTAAAACTATGCACACTTTTAAGGGAAAAAAGTTGCTTAGTCTTTTGATTTTTATATTATACACTTAAATTATGGATTATTTATTAAAGACTTTTAAAAATTTATGTTACATTTTAAAATGTACCAATTAGTGGGGACAAAAGTTCAAAATATTTACCAGCATGTTAGGTTCTCCTGAAATCACAGTATTCTGGATAATTAAATGTATCATTAAAAAATTTTTCACTATGTATTATATACATAGCTTGGAAAGAACTTTAATGTTTTGGACTATTTTTCACATCTTAAATAGTATTTTTTTTTTATTTACTTGATAATACTAAACTCTTTTAAAAAAAATTATATCTATTTTATAGACATTAGTGTCACTGTAAATTCTCAACACCTTGGACTGAACTTGTTTATGAAAAAATCCTAACATCTGCAACTTCAGCTGGTTATACTGGGAGGAGAGGGGTTACCATAATTTTATTGTACTTATGTTAACAATAAACCTTCTCATAGAGAAGAAAATACATTAAATACCTGAAATCATATTTACAACAATAAAAATTCACATTTCATGCTTTAGTGAGACATTTAAATCATCCATAAGGTAGTCCTCATAGTTTATTGGAATAGAGCTCTTTTAGTATATGGGCTTCTGCTGTGTGCCAGATATAAAGCTCTTGATGTTATGAAAATAGCTGAACTTCTATCATTTTCCTATCCAGTACAAAAACTGAGGGTAAGTCTTCCCAGCCATCAAGTTGTGACTACAATCCCATATCACAGAGGTGTGGCAACCAATGTGCTTCAGGACCCATGTGAATGAACTTGATTGTTTGACAAGGGCTCAAAAGCCAAGATGTTTTCTAATGTGAGTCGTACGGCAAAGATAGCCCTTCGGAGCACAGGTAGATGCTTCATTTCTGTGTCTATTGCACAGGATTTCATAAGGTTCCAGAAATGGCGCTGCATCTCTTTTTTTAGCTATTATATACATTTTTCTGATAAGTTCAGTGTTTCACTGGGAAATGTGACTTGCAGGGAGCTCGCCTTAGGGACAGGCACAGCCCTACTACTCCCACCAACCTCATCCACCAGTAAGACGCTCTCAGAGTCCTGACCCTGTGAGGAGTCCGAGGTCTCTGATATTCGCAAAGTCCTCAGTGAGGTGGTGTCTGCTTGGGCCAGGCCCATGCCAGGCACACCTGGAAGCAAATTCCTGCCTCCAAGGCCATTTTCACTGAGTTCTGGCAGGTAAAGGAGGGTCTGAGATGTGCTGCTGATCTCCTTCAGCTCCCGGGAGAGGAAGGAACGAGAGTGGCCGGACATGGCAGAAGATGTCCTGCGACTGTCTGAGCAGTGCTGTCCTGAACGGTCTCTGCTGGACCCACCAATGCGGCAGAAGAGGCATTTGATCTTCTCTATCGCTCTGCTGAGCACTGTCTTCCGCAGGAGGATATATATCCAGGGGTCCAGAATGGGGTTTACAGAAGCAATTCGGATGGCTTGCAAATCTGGATTTTTGCTGATGTCTCGTACCAAACTTGGCTGATATAACTGGTTGACGAACACTCGCACCTGCGTAAATAAGACGCCCATTGTCAGTAATCAAACGGGAAAACACTTAAATGCTGTGCCTATAGTAGCAACATTAGGCTGCTGCCCTCTTTTCTGGTAATAAGTCCCCAGTAAAGAACAGCCTACATGATAAGCCTCAGAAAAACCAGTAATTGCAAAAATGCAATTATGTACACTTATGTTGTGAGTTAGTGTAACTTTAACTATTTTTGTAACTATCTAATGGATATATTCCCAAATCAAAGATGGTGTACAAAAATGCAATGTGAGTACAGGTAACATATGCATAGTCTCCTTGAGAAGCATTTTATTAACTGCAAGTCTGTGAGTGCTTTTAAGCTTTTGTAATTCTAATGAGATTTTTTTTCCCTAAAAGCCACTGATTTCCCTCATTCCAGCTATTTTATATATTTTAAATGAAAACTCATTTTGTATGTCAACTAACCACCTCATCATCACAGAAAAGCCAAGACACTTTTATTTTAGAGTCTACAAGAATATGCTGAAAGCTTTTAAACCAACATCAGGTTTTCCTATCATCCAGAATAACCAGAGAATAGTTTTTATTTTCTCAGTGACTCTGTTCCCCAATTACAATCATGATGAATAAGTGAGAGATCACTTATCATGAGAGTTTGATGGATAAGTGAGAGATCACTTATCACTTATCCAGAGTTCACTTATCACAATAAGAGTTCACTAATTGATGGATAAGTGAGAGTTCGCTTATTTAGAGGAAAGGACCTAGCATTTCAAATAGAGGAAGCTCCAAGTGCAAAGTCATGAAAGAATGAAATATGTCAACTTTTGGGAACTTCAAATGATTCTGTGAAGAGAGCATGAATTTATGTAAATGTAAGGAAGACTATCATTTCATTCCTTAGAGGTAAAAGACTTGTTAAATGTACACTCTCAAATTTACTCTTAAAGTATAAATTTTTTTTTGCATAGGCATTTGCATAGGCATTAATTCCACTAGGACCATTTATATAAAAATCTCATCTATAATTCTTAGAAAAATAGTGGTTTTAAGACACACACATAAAGATGATACATAAAAACCATAAAAAAAGAGAAATAACTCACAAACGCATAGCTGGAGCCATTTAACTAGGGGTAAATACCTCAAGCTTTTAACAAGACTTGAGGGCATCACTGCCTTACCATACAGTGTAATAATGATTCATGGTGTATGAATCACCCAGAAAAAGTAGAATTATTTCAGAAAGATTTACTACAATTTGGATAAAAAAATGAAGTTTAAAATGTTTAAGGAAATGTTTCATTAATTTGTAAAATTCAATTTATATGAAACTTATTCCTGAATGATGCAGTGAGATATAACTGTTATTTCTATTTCTCCTTGAACTGGAATGTAGACCTTAATCAGCTACAGGTTCATGATCCTTTATCAATAAATTTTTGGGTGTTTTTCATTTGTCATTGTTTTGTTTTTACTTTTTTTTTTTTTTTTTTTTTTTGGGCCCC